TGTTACATAATTTTTGGCCCAATCAAACTTATAATACCCCCAACACATAGTTTTGTAGGGTATAAATATACATATCGGAGCCGAGTTCCACAAAATGGAAACGTACGTCCCGAAATTCACTCATTTGTGCTGATATTAGCCATTATTTTCACCATAAACCTGAAATCGGATTAAGGATATATATGGGAGCTATTTCCAAATCTTAGCCGTTCTCGATAAAATTTGCGAAAAGTATTTCTGAGCTCTATAAGATATCTTGTACCAAATGTCATTGTCGTTTAAATCATATTACGAATATGAGTGGCTCAAACACCATACATATGGATGAAACATACATATGGAAGCTATAGCTATATCTCAACCGAACAAATTTAATGTACTTGCTTCTAGACTGAATTCGGTCGGATGTACCAAAATTCAAGACATTAGGACCATTTGGCGCACAATTAACCTGAAATCGGTTGAGAATATAAATGGGAGCTATATCCAAATCTGATTCCATCTTTATAAAATTTGACAGAGATCTATAAGATATGTGGTACCAAATGCATATTACGAATATGAGGGACTTAAAAACCAAATCGGATGAAACATATATATGGGATGTATTTGCTTCTGGACTGAATTCGGTCGGATGTGCCAAAATTCAAGTCATTTGGACTGATATTAGCCATTCGGCGCACAATTAACATGAAATCGCTTGAAGATATATATAGTAGGTATATCCAAATCTGAATCGTTCTTGATAAAATTTGGCAGAGGTATTTCTGAGATGTATCTGATATTTGGTACCAATTATCATTGTTGTGGGATGCATATTTCGCATGTGAGGGACTTAAAACACCAAATCCGATGTACCAAAATACAGGTCATTTGGACTTATATTAGCCATTTGGTGCACAATTAACCCGAAATCGGTTGAAGATATATGAGAGCTATATCTAAATCTGATCCGATTATCACCAACTTCAATAGGTTTCGGCCGTGGACCAAACAAATATTGTTTGCAAAATTTCATCTCAATCGGATAATAAATGCGACCTGTATTCTTTTCATAAAAATACATGGATCGACGGACCGACCGACTGAAATGCATAAATCGACTCAGAACGTGATTCTATGCAGATCCTCTCCATGTTACAAACAAATGCCTAAGACATGATACCCTTACCACTATGTGGTGTAGAGTATAAAAGGGCGTAACACGAAGGGGTGGCCCGAATCTAAAATTAAAGATGTACTTTTGGCTGACACTTTCTAATCATTTTAGTTGTTTAGTTTTGCACAATAATGGAAGTTATTGATGATATACTAATGGAAATTCAAGAAAATATTTAAACATTTTTAATTTTCAATTCGTCTGACATTAAATCAGTATTATTTGAATAGGAATTTTGGTATTTTTCACACAAAAGCTAATGGTCTAAATGTTATTCCATGACCAGACTCCTGCTAAATTCCACAGTGCTTGCTTTATGATTACAAACTGTGGAGCGAAGACAATAACAAGGATATATTGCAGCCACTAAATAGTTTGCGAAAATCTCTATAAAAAGCCTAATACTTACTTCTATGTAAAAATTTCAAAATATCGGACCATAATTGCGACCAGTAGCGTTATTACAAATTAACATGAACAGACGTACGAACTAGTTTGGTGAGATTGGTTAACAACTTTTTGGCACCATCAATCTAGTAAGAACCCCAACACCTGGGAGGTCCAAAAATTCAGAGGCCGTCCCATTTCGCCTCGAAGAACAGTCCAGGTCGGTGAGCTCTTTACCCATTTTCAGAAACAAAGTACTTCTCTTAAATTAAAGGTTATTATCTGTCAATAATATAGAAATCAAACAGACTCGTACATTTCCTACCCTGATGTATTCACAGCCTCTTTACACATGCCACACATTCCCGGAAATAATATTATTCAAGTCTCGCATCTACTGATAGCTTTGGGATACCAAACAAAACCAACTAAAATTCAACATTTGTTTCGAGTCGAATACCGATTTGAATAGATATTGCCCTCGTTTATGTTTATGTATTTATTTGTGGGCATTTAAAAACAAAATATGTTATTGCTGTTTGCGGCTGGCGGCCTGTTAATGCCCGTTTCATTATTGAGATGCATATCCTGTGAAAAACACATTTACATTTGTAGCAACAAACATACCTAACACGTGCCTGTCGATACTCGTGATCATGCTTCGAAATAACTGTATATTTATGGACAATAAAATGTTTAACACTCAATTTAAGACAACCACACATGTTAAAGTTATAATGTTTTCGTTAAGGTTATAGAACAGTTGTGCGTGTATCGAGAATGGTTTGATGGACTGATAGGTGTTGGGCCGCTAAAGTGTGTGTATAAATATATTTTCTTAGAGGCCTTTCTTAAATCTACAAAAATTAAATACTCTAGATAAAAATAAGCACAAGCTAATGTTTTAGGATCGGAAATCAACCCAAGTATTGAAGGGAGTTTTACTGTCGCCAGAGGCATTCCGCTCTTAATTCTCCTACGGCATCCGGTGAACTCGTTGTAGTACGCTCCACAAAAAATTGAGGTAATACTAAATTATTCTATTCATTTGCAATATCGGGAGACTTAACTAAGCTCATATATTCTTAATTACTATTACACACTATATCGATTGAACGACGCACAACAGTTTGCTAGAATCCAGATAGAGTCCAGATTATTTCATAGAGAGCTCTAAAATTTGACAAATCAACTTGCAGCAAAATATCTCATACCAAATAATGGATTAATAAAGGACATATCTCCGGGTATGGACATATCCTGGGAAATTAAAACATACGAAACACCAGCCACCAACAGCCCCAAATAATGTTTAAAACCTGTAATGAAAATTCGAAATTAGGGTGGAGCCGACTTTATGATGATATGGATATTAAGTATAGCTATTTATAAAAAATAAAAGTTTACATTAGGAATTTGTCGCATTTGGTGCGCAGACAGCCCGCACTATAAAAAGCCGTTGTAACCAAAACGGGTTATTGTTTGGTGCAGAGATATAGTTGTGCTAATTTTTTATACTCTCAGACATATGGCTAGAGAGGGTATATATCATTTGATACGGTCACAACGTACCCAGTCGAAATAACGGTTTTAGACCATAGGTCTCCTTGGACCAAATCCGTTTCAGAACATTTGGAGTCGATCTAGCTATGTCCGTCCGTCTGTCTGACTGTCTGGCTGGTGTGCACGATAACTCTCGAAGGGAGTATCCGATTTGGTCCAAACTTGGTACATCGTAATATTTTTGTCAAACTTAGATCGAGTTCGGAGATGGTCAATATCGCTCCACACCTTCTGGTACCTCCACCAAATTTTCAAAAAATATATTTTCTGCACAGAAAGAGAAATGATAATCCGATTTGGCTACAACTTTGCAAATCTTAATATTTGCATCAGGTAAGGTGGGAAAACAGACAATATCGGCCCACTCCATCAGGTACCTCCCCCACAAAGAGTAACACTTTTGAAAAATTATAAATCTTATAAAATGTGATGTAAGAGTCGGATTGTCTTCAAATTTCACACATACCAAGGTCTGGTGTTAAGATGGAACATATCGGTCCACTCCTTCTGCTACCTCCCCCACAAAAGGTCGAATTTGTGTCAGTACTAGGTAAGGTGCGAAATTGGACAATATTGGTACCTCCCCCACAAAGGGTCAAATTTTTAAATAATTTTAACTCTTATAAAGTATGATGTAATAGTCCGACTGTCTTCAAATTTCACACACCCTACTATTTTTATGAACCCAAGATCAGGTAGTAAGACGGAATATATTGGTTCACTCCTTCAGGTAACTCCCCCAGAAAAGGTCGAAATTTTTAATATCCATTTAGCTCATAAAACGAGAAATTAACATCAGATTCCATTCCAGACTTGCTCCTCTGAATATTTCCATCAACACAGCATCTGTTATAAAGACGTAGAGATTGGACCATTCCATCTGGTACCTCCCCCACAAAGAGTCAAAGTTTTGTATAACCAAAACGTTTATAAAATCTGAAATAAGCATCAGGTTCTCTTTATATTTCATACATACAAACATTTTTGCTAACACAAGATCTGTTCTGAAGATGGGATATATCGGTCCTCTCCTTCTGATACTTCCCCCAAAAAGTTTCAAAATTTTGAATAACCATGAAGCTCATAAAAAGCGAAATCAACATCCTATTCCATTACAGACTTGGTACATCTCAATATTTCCAACAACATAAGATCTCAACTTAGCGATTCTTTACAACTTGCTGTATCTAAATATATGTCTCTCAACCAGAATCCTGAGATGAATATGGAATTTATGATTTCCCATAAGTTGGATATAAATGTTCGATTATCTTATAATTTTGGTCATACCAATATTTTTCTCAGTATTAAATGAAGCTTGAAAATGGCATAATTCGGTCGACTATATCTGGTATCTGGTACCTCACGCACATGTTAACTTTTACTAAAAATTATCACATATCTCATGTAAAGAGAAGTAAGTTACCAACATAATTTAAACCTGGAACTTCCCAATATTTATATAATATTTATTTAGGTTCGATACAAAATAGACAATATTGGCTCATTCTTTCAAAACCCACTCCATAGGGGGTCAAGAGTTTGAATAATCATAAGAGAACTCAAAATTTTTTTAAATAATCGAACATTGACTGAGGGTATACATCTGTCGGCAAAACCGACCGATACATTTTTACTTGTTTTTATTTTCCTTCATCAAGCCGTGTTTAACGAAGTTTAGGTTTTTTGAGATATAGTCAAATGGATTTTAGGAACATAGAGTTTTTGGTGGTAAAAATGAGCCAAACAGGTCCACAGTATCATCATCGTAGCGCCGGATTTTAAACATTTTATACATTTTTTATACAAAATTCTGATCCAAATTATGTACAAATTTAACTTTATATTAGTTAAACAAAATAAAAAAAATATATATTTTTTTTGTTATTCTTAAACATTTAAAACGTTATGCTACAAAATTAATACAAAAAAAAATTATTTCTGCATTGCGGTTGATGATGTATATTGTGATGACTGATTCTCAGTCAATACGTATTCCCGACCGCCACAGTAGAAGACCATCCACGAGAACTTAACATTATCATCGATCACCACAAAATATATAAACAAGACAAATCCCTGTAATGTTGCCGTGATGCAGAATAGAAACGCCAATACTCCGCTCTGATCCAAATGGGCCAACAATCCGAATAGCCATGATATACCCAACAGAAAGAACAGGAGAATCGATAGACGTAGCTGTTTGTAAATCATGTTTCGATCTTTTTTCGATCGGAATTTAGTTAACGAACGTTGGACGCTGACAAGAATGTAAATGAAAATGGCAGAATTCGCAATACTTATAATCGAAATCGGTAACAGCAGAGAGAGGTTGAAGCTCAAACCTTTCGGATAGCAAATGGATGCATTTTCGTTAAATCCAGTCGAGAGAGGAAGGTATGAATTGCTATCGAAATACAAGACCAAGGCGGTGGGTATTACCGGTAGACCCCAAGCGGCTAAAGCATATTTTAAGATGTAGTATTGTGGTTTTTGTACACCAATAACAACAATATAACGCTGATATTGTAATATGGCCAAGAAAAACATCCAAAGGAAGAGCACCAAAATGATGTACTGCAGGAAGGCACCCTCAGCTATGCAAGTGTTGGGATTCGTTAAGTTAACAATACCGTCTCGGGCATCTGGCAGATTTATGAACAGGAAATAGGCCATGAGTAGCGTGAGCACGAGACACATGTTAAGCAGAAGTTTATTTGAGGCTTGCAAACGCCACTTCCTACAGCATATGGCGGTTATCCAAATGCAAATCAGACCGAACAAAGATAGGCAACATCCAACTATTGAAATAACATCCAGGGTATAGCCCATGAGTACACGCAACACAATGTTGTCGCTTGAAAACGTCGGTTTGGTATCAAGGCCAACAAGAGCGCCAAACCAGACGGTATTCGTGGTTTGACATAAAACCAAATCATTAAAATTAACCAAAGCTGATCCGCCGTTCCTGCCATAATCCCACCATTCGTAATTCCATTGGCCGCAGTGCCGTTGATTTTCGTATCCATTGAGTGATCGGGTTTCTTTTTCCGTCTGATGATCTCGGAATATTAGCGATACATTACCCGGTAATTCTGTAAAGAAAGAGGGGAATAATAAATGCATTTTAAATATTTTAAAATTTTAGTTTTGAATGTTTTTTTTTGTGAAATCTATGCAGGTTTACATGTAGCACTTGTAGTCCCTTCATACTACAATTTTATGAACAAGTTTTGAATGCCTATAATTTCTTATTTCAAATACATAATTCTGTATTTGTATTAAATTTTGGTAATGCATCACAATTTGTTCTTTTTCGGGATGTTTTATTTTTGTTTATCATATTGTGCAACACATAAAAATTATTACAGGAAAAATTCTGCAGATGGCGGTAGTGGAACAAAAAATAAACGTCACTTGTATTTGCGCCACCATCTTTTGCAAAAATTTGTTTTACGGAATACGCATTTACGGAATATACATAGTGTATTCGGCAGTATTAAAGATATCAATACGATGATTATTTAGATCGGAAATTTTAAGCCACCAGTGAGTCAACATAGGGGTCTCTTTTTTTCTTTTTGCAAAATATTGTTAGGAACTTCCTTTAAACGTGGTCGTACAGTACCAAAATATTTTAAAAATTTACAAGTCATAATATTTTGTTATCGGTCCAAAAATATATTTAAAGTGTAAATCACACCATATAAAAGCCAAAAGTTCATATATGTTAGAAACACATTGATGTGTTTGGAAACACTCCTAGAAACCATTATCAGAGACAAATTACTCTACATTAAATTTTACTACATATCACCCAAGAGAAGAAATCTCCATTATCCATTAAAAAAATCAATGCTGCACATTTTTTTTCCTAATTTTTTGATAAAGTTTTCCTCGGTCTTCTCAGAAAGTAATAAAAAATTTCTTATCAGTATTATTGTTGAAGACAAAACAGGGTTAGATGAAAAAACTGCAACCAAATTCAGACAGCTGTCATTTCTAAACCACTCGTCCGACAGCTGTAAAAATTTTTCCAGTGACAGCTCATTATATTGTTTACAAGCGTACAAAAGCATTTTGGTGAGAATTTTCCAGAAAAAAAGTTATTCGTGATGGTATTCAAGTGTGATGGTGTGGTTTCTTTATATTTGGTTGGAAAACCACAAGTGGCTATCGTTAGAGCACTAAATGTGAATAAATCTTTTGTGTCTCGTACCATCGCTCGTTGCCGTGATACTGGTAGCGTAGGCCGACGTTACGGAAGTGGACGGAAGAAAACTGCAACGTCAACAGAAATGGTTCGAAAAGTAAGGAAGCGACTTCATCGAAACCCGCGTCATAGTGGCCGAAAAATGTATCGTAATCTGAACATATCACAATATTCCATTCGCCAAATATTGAAAAAGCCATTGAAATTCCAAAAAGTGCAAGAACTTACACCGCAACAGAAAGAAAATAGACTCAAAAGAGCTAAAGAGTTGCTTCGCTTGACCGAAAGTGGTGAACTTCCGAACTTGATTTTCCCTGATAAGAAAACATTCTTTGTCCAGCAGTATGTAAATAAACAAAATGATCGTGTTTACTTGCCAAAGGAGTCAAGTGAAAATGTGTACCTTCTGTTGGCCACCAGAACTCAAGCGCCGGCCATGGTGATTGTGTGGGCCGACATAACAGCCGATGGTCGCTCTTCGCACGTATTAATCGAACGGATTTTTTTGTATACTTTTTTCGTCAATCTTTGAAAATAAGATAGACAAAAAAAAATCAAACCAAAATACAAAAAGACTTCGATGTCAACATTCATGCCTCAATGGCTAAAACAAAAATCATAAATGTAGGTATATAAATACTGATTAATATTTTCTTTAAAAATAAACAATAAATGAATTCAAGGCATTTTGCATTATGTATCAATGAGAAGGATTTTTATCATATACTACCATTACTGAATATATCATAACCCACTAAAATTTGAAAGAACCAAATTTACATCATTATGTTATAAGGTCCTCAATTAATATAGGGTAAGTGGGTCAAAAAGCACAAATAAAAGCAACTGCCGACTAAAAATTAATTTTATTAAAGTAGTTTTTGGATTATTATACCCTACAACACTATGTGTTGGGGGTATTATAAGTTTGATTGGGACAAAAATTATGTAACACCTCGAAATATTGGTTTCCCACATAGGAAAGTATATATGGATCTTCCTAGCTCGCCGAGCTGAGTCGATCTAGATATGTATGTCCGTCCGTCCGTCTGTCCGTCTGTCCATGTTAATTTGTAATCACTCTACAGGTCGCAATTATGGTCCGATCTTCACGAAATTTAGAATGTAGGTGGGGCTTGCACCAGAATAGAACCCTATTGCTTTTGGAGATGATCGCCAAATGTTTAGGGATTGAAATGGACCAGATACTAAACAAATTTCGGATTTTGCAGAAGCTATACAGGTCGCAATTATAGACCAATCGACGGAATTTCGCATGTAGCTGGAGTTTAGAGAGGGGAAGAAGCTTACCAATTTGGGTGGTCATCGGATAATATTTAGCGGGTAAAATAGACCATATCTTTTGTGTTGAAAAAATTCAAAATTTTTCATTAAACCGTGAATATTTTAAATCCCGGCGAAATCACAAAGCCATCATATCCAACAAATCGGATATATAGCAAAATATGTGCGATATATATGTCTATCAAAGGAGATATGCTTGAAAGATCTCTTATATGTCGAGAACGGCTGAACTGATTTCGACAGTTCTCATTAATTCAGAATGGCCTCTTGGCAGGAAAGAAAAAACGTCTAAAAAATCGCATAAAAGTATCTCTCTTACGATCCTTACGAAATTTTGCATGGGGATAAGATGAGGGTCAGAATAGAAGCCTACTCTTTTTGGAGATGATCGCCATATATTTATGGGTTGAAATGAACCAAAAAACTGCAAAATTGTCAGCAGGTCGTTATTATTGCCCGGTTACGGGCATTTCAAAAAGCCAAGCAGTTTTGGATGGCCATCCAAAAATATTCAATGTGTGAAATAGTTTGCCAACTTTTGTAGACAAAGTACGAAAATGTCCATTCCAGTGACTTTTTGGAGAATTCACAAATACAGGAAAAACACACTTCTGACTATGTCGTTAACGCTGATTTCGTTGAAAAATATAGTCAAATGTCTGTATCTCATATAGATGCGTTTCAGTCAAAAACAAATAATAAATGTTAATCTTTTGCCACTTCTGAGAGATTATAGGTGTTTGGGAAATATTGGTTCCAGATCTAGGAAGACCATTTACGTGCAACATCTTCCAATAAATTGGAAATGAGCAAATTAGTTTAAGTTGCTATTATTCGAAAATTAGAGATCGAAACCTGATGGTTTTCTTTTATTATTTGTCACAATATCTTGCGGAATTCTTTCGAGTATCTCGCCTATATAAACTGTATCGTTTATTATAGTGTTGTAGGGTATTCAACGGTCGGCCCCGCTCGACTGTAGCCTTTGCTTACTTGTTTTAATTTATAAAAGTGATCTTCAGACTTTTATTTACTTTTATAAAATATTAATGGGCTTCAACTCCTCTGCTATAAGAAATATTTTTATTTTAAATTCCACAATGGTTTCCCATAACTGACATACATTCTTTCCTTTGCCCTGACGTTCCACATTCAAATTATTCAATATGGTTGAAATATCTGTTAAGAATGCCAGATTCAATAAAAACCTTGATCTTTCATTATTAGGAATTCTTCAAGACTTTCCAATTCTAAAAGTTCTTGCACATATGTCCTGACTTCAAATAAACGGTTAAGACACTGTCCGCGACTAAGCCATCTCACTTCTGTGAAAAGTATCAGATCCGTATGTGTGGCACACTTTTGTTTTAAGAAACTAACGAATATTCTATGATTTCATGAGTTATGCACTCAACGGATCTCATTATCGGAAAGTGTTCGATCTACTGAACTTCATCTCAAAGTATTTTGTAATCGACCCTGCCCAACTTTAGATTTCCGTACTTCTTTATACTGCTGTACTGAACAATTCAAATGTTTTTGTTTAATTAATTTTCCATGCTCCGCATTATCATAGCAAAAAAACAAGAAGACTTACCAACATATTCTGGCACCGTAACCTTCAGTACCACACTTTTCGGTTGATAGTTATATCTGGCAAATAATGCATTACGACGATATAATGAAATTTTCACGGTACTAAGTTTGTCATTTGAATTCCATAAAATTTCGGGTAAATGAACAGCTGCCTCGACATTGTCCTCTTGGATCAGATCATCTATTGATTGATTCATATACAGGTAACGATAATACGATTCCGACTGGGCATCGTACATCATTTTGAGGCTGGGTCGAACATGTCGATTGTAAACTGCAATACCCGAAACATTCGAACACAAGGCATTGATATAGAAAACGGTTAGAAGACCTTCGGATTTGATGAGTACACCATTTGGAATCCGGTCACATTTGGATGTTGGTACTGCCGTCTCTGTGACGCTATCAAAATATGTTTCCACCGTTTTGAGGAGGATATTCGAGGTGCCGGATTTAACTGAGTCTCGTATAACAATGTCCGAGCTATTCATTAGATTATTGGCAATCTTGAGAATATTTGGCAATAATTCCGCTGGTTTGTGGTTCTCGACTACAGTTTGTAAAATATTTGTGGATATTTGGAAATCAGCTGGTATCCGATAGGTATTTTCGTTTTCCAAGATATCACATAGCCTCGTTGTAGTTTTTAAGGCATACGCATCACTGAGTTTTCCATTTTTCATTTCGACTTCATTATTTAACTTATACAGATCCTGGGTTATAATTTTATTTTCGACATCGTGCAAACAGGTAATGTTTCCGAAGGAGCCTGGCATCCATTCGCTTTGAATAAGCTGGACATTGTATTCACATGCCCTTGTCAGTAGCTGACCATTTTGTAGCAAACACGGCTCCTGACTACCCACGACATCGCCTATTCGACCCGCTGGCCAATAGTTGGTGTGAGCTTTGGAAATGTTATTTTTCATTAGATATTTATGTTCAAATGGCTCCGGGTGACAATTATTGTTAATGGAACTGCAAAAGAGCAAATCTTGGTCAAAGTTCTTAATTTCTTCCCAGTCAACACCACTGCCATTGCGGTAACAATTTCGCTGTACAGGCTCGCCATTGCTGAGGGAGCACATATTTAACTTGTTTTTTGAACCCACAGCAACTGGAAACCAAATGACAAGAGTCCGTAAGTGTATGGAAGCATTGTAAAAGTTGGCTTCGTACATATCTTGCTCACAGAACTCTTTAGCGGCATCATTTGAAGCAAAATTGCAAAGTAATAAGACTATTAACGCCAGAACTATCATTTCGTTTGAGGAACGTTCGTTTTTGAAGAACGACTTCAACTTAACCAAACGGAGAGTATCTGTACACTAAGATCATGTTGAACATGTAGAAAATTTATTATTCCAAGATCTGAATGGAACCGAACTGCGAAAAAGAATATTATATTTTTCATTACCCTAAAACCGCTACTACCGCAATATTGTATACTAATATAATGTGTTGTATGATTCAGAATTTGATAAGAAAGATGTCTCACATAATAAGGGGATTCATATGAAGAATTGTCGAGAGTGCTATGTAAAGGGTTTTTTTTAACAATACTTTTTGGAATGTTACTGGTAGAATTAGTTTAGGAAGTTTCCGTTTATTTAAATATATATTTTTATATCCTACACCACAAGGTGGTCAGGGTATTATGTCTTTGTGCATTTGTTTGTAACAGGCAAAAGGAAACGAAATAGACCCATGGTTCCTTTTGATGATCTGCATAGAATCACATTCTGAGTCGATTTATGCATGTCCGTCCGTCCGTCCGTCCGTCCGTCTGTCCATGTATTTTTGTAAACAAAGTAGAAGAAATTTTGCACAGATCATTTGTTTGGCCCAAGGACGAACCCTATTGAAATTGGAGATAATCGCCCAAAATTTAGATATAGCTCCCATATATATCTTCGTCCGATTTGCCTTTTATTGTGCACCAAACGTGTAATATCAGCCCGAATTGTATGGAATTTTTCATATACACCCAAATTAGGTCTCAAAATAAGTATGCCAAATTTGATCGAAATCGGTTCACATATAGCTATAGCTCCCATACATATTGTTCATCCGATTTGTTATTTTTGTCCTCCGCGGCCGTAATATGCACTCTGTAACAACAATATTTGGGAAAATATATCAAATACAGCTCAGAAATACATTTGCTAAATTTTATAGAGATCGGTTTAGATTTGGATATAGCTCCCATATATAACTTTGTCCGATTTACCTTTGATTGTGCACCAAACGTCTGATATTTGTCCAAATTGGGTGGAATTTAGCACTTACTACCGAGCTTACTACTAGAAGCTAGTATGTCAAATTTGGTGAAGATCGGTTCAGATATAGCTATAGCTCCCATATATACTGTTCATCCGATTTGTTATATTTGTTACCCACAGCCGTAATATGCTCTCCGTAGCAACGATATTCAGGGAAATAAATCAAATACAACTAAGAAATATCTTTGCCAAATTTTATTTTTATCCGATTTCAAATTAATTGTGCACCAAATGGGCAATGCAAGTCCGAATTTAAAAGAGACAAATGCTTCGGCATTTTAGTCCTTTGAACCTTAAATTATAATTATAATCATAGCGTGTATGATTGAATTCTCATATAAAAAATTGTAATTGTTATGCGGAGCTCTACTAAATTAGCAAAGTGGTGTAGGGTATTATAAAGTCGGCCCCGCCCGACTTTAAGACTTTCTTTTCTGGTTATTCCTGAATTCCATTTATTATTGATTTCCACTATTTTTTATAGCCTTCGACACTATATATGGGGGTATTATAAGTTTAATTGGGACAAAAATTATGTAACACGTCGAAATATTGGTCCATCACATATGATGGTCCATATTATATATGAATCTTCTCTCTCGCCAAGCTGTGTTTATCTAGCTATTGCTGTCCATCTGTTTCATGGTAGGTCCTTCACATGCGAAATAGGCTTTTCAGATGAATGATATTTGGCACCGGACATCATATACTGCTCGAAAATACCTTTGTACAATTTTATCGAGATCGATTCAGAATAGGGTATAGCTCCCATATATATCTTTATCCCATATCATATTTATTGTGCACCAAATGGCTAATATTAGCCCAAATGGGCTGAATTTCGGAAATTAAACTAAATTCATCCTGTAAACCAGTACTTCAAATTTAGCATAAATCGTTTCTGATATAGCTATAACTCCCATATTCAGGGTGGGATGAAAAAACTGCAACCAACTTCAGACTGCTGTCATTTCTAAGCTACTCGTCCGACAGCTGTTAAAATTATTCCAGGGACAGCTCATTATATTGTTTACAAGCGTACAAAAGCAATTTTCCGGAAAAAAGTTATTCGTGATGAAATTCAAGCGTGATCGTGTGATTTCTTTATATTCTCTATATTTGGCGGGAAAACCACAAGTGGCTATCGTTAGAGCACTCCAGCATTTAAATGTGAATAAATCTTTCATGTCTATCTTTTGTAACTATCGACCAGTAGCGTGATTACAAATTAACATGGACAGTATGTATACAAGTATTTATGCTTTTTATACCCTCCACCATAGTATGGAGGGTATATTAAGTTTGTCATTCCGTTTGTAACACTTCGAAATACACAATTTAAACCCCACAATGTATGTATATTTTTGATAAGCATAAAAATCTATGTCGATTTAGCGCAGTCCATCCGTCTGTTCATCTATCCACCTGTCCGTCTGTGGAAATCACTCTAGCTTTCGAACGAATTTGAGTATATTAATAAAATTTTACTCAAATGTATGTTGTGTCTGCAGGACTTTTGGTATTGAAAATGGGTCATGTAGGTCCACGTTTGGTATAGCCTCCATATAACAGTACCTCCCGATATTCGGTATTTTGATGATTTTATCTACATTATTCACCGGAATTGTTTCAAATTTGGTATTTCATTTTCGTAATGGATGCTACAGCCTATGACAGGAGATTGTCTGTGCAGCTCCACGTCTTCGTATAGCCCCTATATAACGGTACCTCTCGATATTCTGTATTTTGATCATTTTAGCGACATTATTCTCCGGAATAGCCAAATTCGTTCCAAATGCTGGAGGGTATTCCAAGTTCGGCCCGGTCCAACTTACAGCTTTTTATACCCTACACCACAAGGTGGTCAGGGTATTATGTCTTTGTGCATTTGTTTGTAACAGGCAAAAGGAAACGAGATAGACCCATAGTTCCTTTTGATGATCTGCATAGAATCACATTCTGAGTCGATTTATGCATGTCCGTCCGTCCGTGTGTCCGTCCGTCCGTCTGTCCATGTATTTTTGTAAACAACGTACAGTTCGCATTTATTGCCCTATCCAGATGAAATTTTGCACAAATCATTTGTTTGGCCCAAGGACGAACCCTATTGAAACTGGAGATAATCGATCAAAATTTAGATATATCTCCCATATATATTGTGCACCAAACGTGTAATATCAGTCCGAATAGTATGGAATTTTGCATATACAACCACATTAGGCCTGAAAATACGTATGCCAAATTTGATCGAAATCGGTTCAGATATAGCTATAGCTCCCATATATATTGTTCATCCGATTTGTTATTTTTGTGCTCCGCAGCCGTAATATGCACTCTGTATCAACAATATTTGGGGAAATATATCAAATACACCTCAGAAATACATTTGCTAAATTTTATCGAGATCGGTTGGGATTTGGATATAGCTCCCATATATAACTTCGTCCGATTTACCTTTTATTGTACACCAAACTTCTAATATTTGCCCAAATTGGATGAAATTTGGAACTTACGACCGAATTGAGTCTAGAAGATAGTATATCAAATTTGGTGAAGATCGGTTCAGATATTGCTATAGCTCCCATATATACTGTTCATCCGATTTGTCATATTTGTTACCCACAGCCGTAACAACGATTTTCAAGGAAATATATCAAATACAGCTCAGAAATATCTTTGCCAAATTTTATCGAGATCGATTCCGATTCGGATATAGCTCCCATATATATCTTTATCAGATTTAAAATTAATTGTGCACCAAATGGGTAATACAAGTCCGAATTTAAAAGATACAAATGCTTCGGCATATTTAGTCCTTTGAACTTTAAATTATAATTATAATCACAGCGTGTATGATTGAATTCTCCCATAAAAACTTTTAATTGTTATGCGCAGCTCTACTAAATTAGCAAAGGGGTGTAGGGTATCATAAAGTCGTCCCCGTCTGACTTTAAGACTTTCTTTACTGGTTTACTTGTTAGAACTGTTATTGTGAATTTATGCTTTATTCATAGATTTTAATTTTCATAGTTTCAAATACTTCAAATATAGGCTCTATATTTGCTGTGTTGTAGACTTTGTGGTCATAAAAGGTATGTTCTCACCATCCACTGTAGTTTTATGAAATGTGTTTTTTCCTATGAGTACATTTCAAGATAAACTATATTAAAACTTAAGTACCGCAACATCCTTACCGAAATCTTCTCAAAACCACCTTATTACCATATGCCTTAACCTTGTGTGAAAATATGTGCATATGTTACATTTTTAAGGAAGCTACTTGCCGCATGAACTTGTATAAAAATGAAAGAAAGTTGGACTGTTTTGTATGCAATTGCTACACTTTGAAATAAAACAAGTTAGAAAGTGTCTGTAAGGGGAGCTACAAGATAGTCATAGTAAATCTTTATGTGAGACCTTAATTTGAAGTTAACCACACAGGGTGAGATGAAAAAACTGCAACCAACTTCAGTCTGCTGTAATTTCTAGGCCACTCGTCCGACAGCTGTTTAAATTATTCCAGCGACAGCTCATTATATTGTTTACAAGCCTACAAAAGCAATCTGGTGAGATTTTTCCTTTATATTTGGCTGGAAAAACACAAGTGGCTATCGTTAGAGCACCCCAGCATTTAAATGTGAATAAATATTTTGTGTCTCGTACCATCGCTCGTTGCAGTGATACTGGTAGTGTAGCTCGGCGTCAAGGAAGTGGACGGAAGAAAACAACCGAAAAAATAGCCATAGCCATTTTTCGGCCACTGTGACGCGAACCATTTCTGCTGATGTTGTTGTTTTCTTCCGTCCACTTCCTTGACGTGGAGGGTGTAGTAATGCCTTGGCCACGCAAACATTTTGGCCACAGACCCTGGACACGGGACCCAAGAATGATTACAAAATGAGGTTCCTCGCTTCATTTCCAGCGCACAATTGGCCACCAAAATCTCCGGATTCCAATCCGTTGGGCTATTTTGTCTGGAGTGCAATTCGAACAAATCTTATCCTAAAATTTGATGCTATTTCCGACATTTTTTGATTTCATTCAATAAAATTAAAAA